ATTCAGCACCATGATTGGAAAGTTGAGATGCTAGAAATAATTCCATACCGGTGACTAGAGATGCTTTTTATGGAGCAAACGGCCGGAGCATTAGCTATTCTTCATTGCCTAGCCAAACAGACTTTTGCGACACGGGTTAAAAGTTTCGTCGCTTTCAGCCGTAACAGCCACGTTTGCGAACTATGGGAGCGGGTGAGACGAGGAGAAGCACATAAACACACTGATCGCGGCACTAAACCGTGGAGCTTCAATCAGCTATCGAAATGCCTACAATAGCCAGACCAGTTAGAAGCCTAAAGTCCCCCCAGCAAGCCCGCAAGGCGTCGCTACTCTTCTTATCTATCTTAGGTTGGCATCTCCTCGCAACAAACGGGAGCAAACAGTGAAGGCTTCACGCTCCTGCTATTCTAATCAAAGCTATCGCCTTCCCGTCGTCTAAGACTGCTACAAGGTTGACGTTTGGTGGCGGCCTGATTCAAAAGGTGAGGAGAAACTCTCAAATTCTGAAACCATTTATAGCAGTAGGGTTTGAGATGGCCTTGGGGAATGTAGTGGGGGAGGAAACTGGCGGGATCCCGCGGAAGGACCCCTTGAGATCGCCTTGGGAAATGTTTGGGGAGTTTGGGCTAGGTTGGGAAAGGTTGGGGATGGTTGGGGAGGAAGTGGCTTCACGGGGAAGGGGGAAGAACGAAAGCAGCGTTCAGTGTAGCGGCGGGATGGTGTGCGGGAGGTCAGTGGCGGAGTGGAGGGAGGGGAGCACAATTTTCCCAGTGGTCGGGGGGAGTTCAGGTGACGACGAATTGTGCTTGCGAGGTCGCTTTCAAAGGGTGTGGAAGTTGCAGTGTTCCGGAAGGGCTTGCGGAATGAGTGAGACTGGCAGCGTCCGCAGATAGGTGCGCAGGTGCGGTGTGGCATGACTCGAAGGGCTTGGCGCGGAATCTTCGAGGCTCGTTGAAATAGACGGAGTACACTGAAATAACACTGCACAACGGAACTGTTGTTCAGGAGCTAACAAACATTTCGGCCTTTGAAATGACTCACCAAAGGACTGAATTGTTGCTGATCAGTATCGCCTGCATTAGCAATACTCTACCATCACGGCACCCTACCATTAAAAGTTTCTTTTCTTTCTCTCCCCATCACACAAGCCAGCTGAGACCATCCCGACATGAACCCTGCAGGACCATAGCAATACTCTCGAACACGGCATGCTGCTAGGTATAGCTGCCCCAGAGGCACCTCTACATCTGCTGCTGCTGCTGCTGCTGTTGCTGCTCTCGCTCTCTCTCCCCCTCACACGCCAGCCAGCTGAGACCATCCCGCCATGTCGCCCGCAGGAGCATAGCGATACGCTCGAACACGGCCCGCCAGCGATAATGGCCCCAGAGACACCTCTATATCCGCCCCTGGTGCTGCTGCTGTTGTGGTGCCTGTGGCGTTGGGAGCAAACCCGGAAGAGGAATAAGCACCACCAGAACCAGCAGCAGTGAAACCGCCAGGAGCAGCAGCAGCAGCAGCTGCATTTGAAGCAGCAGAACCGCCAAAGGCAGATGAGAACATAGCAGCTGCAGCAGAGGTAGCAGAGGAGGGGTTAGAACCAAGAGCAGGGGAAGGGGAGGAGGAAGAGGAGGAGGAGGAAGGGGTGGTGGTGGTGGTGGTAAGGTCTTCTTTGGAGGAATAGAGATCGCCTATGAGTTCAACAGAAAGAATTCTGATGCCCGCTATTGGTCGAGAGAAGTCAAAGTAGAGAGGCGTGTTGGGTCGGGCAGCGGGCAGAATAGATTCCGTGATGACCGTGGCAGGCCCAAAGGAGTCCTGCGAGGGGGGAAGGACGAAGTGGACAGGAGAGAAACGGGAGGGGGGGGTGGGGTGGGAAAGAGAGGTTACAGTCGTCTCACGAATAAATGCCGTAATGGCCAAAGTAGGGCCAAAGGAGTCTCAAGAGTGTAGATTTGAAGCTCCCCAAAAGGAGTCTTGAGGGGAGAGTCGGAGTGGAGAGAGTGGGTGGGGAGAGGGAAGTTGGCTAGGAGGGAATGGGTGGGGGGGAGGGGAATGGGGGGGATACAGGAGAGAGAAAAACTACAAGTTGTTTTCAGAATTGAAATGGGTCGTACAGCAGAGGAGGAGTGGAGGAGGAGTAAAAGTAGGAAAGAGAAAGAGTACTGTGTTGCTGAGTACCCACCTGCCGGGCCGATACCCTGAGCCGGAATGGGACAACGAACGCCCCCCACTCATCCATGAGCCCGCCCCTAGCTGCCCGAGCCAACGGCCCGCCGTTTGCTGCACCGGGCAGCGAGAGAAACATTCCGGCGGAACGGTCCAATGGTAGCGCGTCTAGCCGGATACCCGAGATTGGAGGAGAGGAGACGGGCAGAAGAAGTTCGAGAATCCTTCCTCCTGCCCACACTCTCTCCCCTTCGACTGGGGTCTGAGAGAGAGAGAGAGAGAGTGAGGGAAATGGCAGGGAAAAGGAGGGATGCCAGGGGCAGGGGAGTGTAAGTTTTCATAAAAACTTACAGTACACCAACAAGAAGTTTCGAGATCTTTCCACACTCTCTCATGTTCCACTATAATCTTCTAGATTGAGGGCAATCAAATAAAAAGGAATAATAGCTGGGGAATGAATGGAAAAAAATGTCATGCACACACAATGATAAGTTCAGGTTGCTCCTGTAGTGCATGTTCTGCTGTAGCTCACGCAAGGCTGTGATGCACATACCCGTGATCGGCTCATTGGAGCAGGGGCCTCCAGAAACTGCTGGTACTCCCACCTACTCGTGCCACCAGCAGCAGCACCGCCAGCACCAGCAGGGCCCATCGTCCCAACAGCAGCAGCAGGGGCACCACCAACGACTGCTCCCATGGGTACAGAAGCAGCCCCACTGGAGGTCACGGGATCAATTCCTGTCGGGTCACCAAATGTTTTCTGCCCGTAAACGCGGATTCTGCGAGCCCAGATGGAGGATGCTGCAGCGCCGAGCTGACGGACTTCGGGCAGGAGAAATTTCAGCCAGATGATCCGGCAGGGGGCGGCGGCGGCGGGCAGGGTGTAGGATAAGATCAGCTCGGAGTGTGGATTTGATTTGGCGTCAGATAGGGCGGCTGCGGCTGAGGAGGGGAGGTCCCAGAGGCCTATTGTGGTGCGCTCTGATTGGTCGATGGTGGTGCTGAGGGAAATGCGAACCTGCACCAAGGGGAGGGGGAGGGGGAGGGAGAGAGGGAGGGGGAGGGGGAGGGGAGATGAGAGAAATCGTTTCTGAGTCGACTCTAAAAGAGATGAGGGAACTTGATAAAACTATGAAATGTGGCAGAAACGAATGTAGCTAGCATGAGCCGTCAACTCAAGACATTCAAGTCCTTGGGGTTGCCATGGGGCGTGTACTGAGGCGCCTCAAGAATTACCTCATTGCACGCGGATTTTGAGGCGCCTCAAAAAGCATGACGCCAGTGAGCATGCGGCTAGCTTGCCTTGGGGTTGCCATGGGGCGTGTACTGCAGCAGGCCCGAGGGCAGGACAGCACGGGAGACAAGCGTGGGCGTGGAGAGCACGATGGGTGGCACTAAGGATTTCCACAAAAGAGCACTGTTGAGAGAACTCGGAACTCGCCTTGGGGGTGTGATGGGGCGTGTACTGAGGCAGGCCCGAGTGCAGGACGACACGGGAGACAAGCGCAGGCGTCGAAAGAATGATTGCGATTTCCACAGCGGTGAGATCGGAGGGGGCTTGCCAGACGTGAGAGAGCGGGGAAGGGGAGGAGGGGGGAAGGAGGAGCGAGTTGGCCGCAGCTGCTGATGCACATGTGGGGACCTGCATGTGTGGGCGAGGGAAGGACATGGGGGTAACAGTAGAGGCGAGGGATAGGGATGGGGGTTGAGAGCACGATGGCAGTTTCCATAGTGGTGAGATCGGAAGGGGCTCGCCAGACGTGAGAGAGCGGGGAAGGGGAGGAGGCAGGAAGGAGGAGCGAGTTGGCGGGGGCTGCTGATGCGTCTGTGAGGACCTGCACGTATGTGGGCAGAGGGAGGGAAGGAAGGGGCAGCGGGAGGGAAGGAAGGGGCAGCGGGAGGGAAGGAAGGGGCAGCGGGAGGGAAGGAAGGGGCAGCGGAAGGGAAGGAATGGGCAGCAAAGTCAAGGTGAGAGACAAGGGCAGGAGGGGAGCGCGACAGAGATTTCCACAGCAGTGAGATCGGAGGGGGCTTGCAACACGGAGGTGAGAGGGGAGGGAGAGGCGGGATTTGAGTATGGGAGGAGAAGCGAGTTGGCCGGGGCTGCTGTGATGCATTTGTAGGGAAATGCGATTCAGAAATACAAACTACTTGAAGCAACCTACCTGAGACGTCAACGACCTGTGACAAAAACCACCCCTATACCGAAACGTACCGAGAAAAACAGTCCTGCGTGTGGCAGCTCAACTAGAGGCACTTCCCCCGCCCCACTCTCCCCCCTCTCCTTCCCATCAGCCCAGCTCAGGAATGCAGGATAATTGAAGCAACCTACCTGAGGCGTCAACCACCTATGCCTACAACCACCCCTATACCAAAACGTACCGAGAACAACAGCCCTGCGTGTGGCAGCTCGGTTAGAGACACTTCCCCCGCCCCACTCTCTCCCCTCTCTCCCGGTTCGGAAATGCAGGATGCTTGAAGCAACCTACCTGAGACGTCAGTCAACCACCCCTATACCAAAACGTACCGAGAACAACAGTCCTGCGTGTGGCAGCTCGGTTAGAGACACTTCCCCCGCCCCACTCTCTCCCCTCTCTCCCGGTTCGGAAATGCAGGATGCTTGAAGCAACCTACCTGAGACGTCAGTCAACCACCCCTATACCAAAACGTACCGAGAACAACAGTCCTGCGTGTGGCAGCTCGGTTAGAGACACTTCCCCCGCCCCACTCTCTCCCCTCTCTCCCGGTTCGGAAATGCAGGATGCTTGAAGCAACCTACCTGAGACGTCAGTCAACCACCCCTATACCAAAACGTACCGAGAACAACAGTCCTGCGTGTGGCAGCTCGGTTAGAGACACTTCCCCCGCCCCACTCTCTCCCCTCTCTCCCGGTTCGGAAATGCAGGATGCTTGAAGCAACCTACCTGAGACGTCAGTCAACCACCCCTATACCAAAACGTACCGAGAACAACAGTCCTGCGTGTGGCAGCTCGGTTAGAGACACTTCCCCCGCCCCACTCTCTCCCCTCTCTCCCGGTTCGGAAATGCAGGATGCTTGAAGCAACCTACCTGAGACGTCAGTCAACCACCCCTATACCAAAACGTACCGAGAACAACAGCCCTGCGTGTGGCAGCTCGGTTAGAGACACTTCCCCCGCCCCACTCTCTCCCCTCTCTCCCGGTTCGGAAATGCAGGATGCTTGAAGCAACCTACCTGAGACGTCAGTCAACCACCCCTATACCAAAACGTACCGAGAACAACAGTCCTGTGTGTGGCAGCTCGGTTAGAGACACTTCCCCCGCCCCACTCTCTCCCCTCTCCTTCCCATCAGCCCAGCTCAGGAATGCAGGATACTTGAAGCAACCTACCTCAGGCATCAACCACCTATGCCAGCAACCACCCCTATACCAAAACGTACCGAGAACAACAGCCCTGCGTGTGGCAGCTCGGCTAGAGGCACTTCCCCTGCCCCACTCTCTCCTCTCTCCTTCCCATCAGCCCAGCTCAGAAATGCAGGATACTTGAAGAAACCTACCTCAGGCATCAACCACCTATGCCAGCAACCACCCCTATACCAAAACGTACCGAGAACAACAGCCCTGCGTGTGGCAGCTCGGCTAGAGGCACTTCCCCTGCCCCACTCTCTCCTCTCTCCTTCCCATCAGCCCAGCTCAGAAATGCAGGATACTTGAAGAAACCTACCTCAGGCATCAACCACCTATGCCAGCAACCACCCCTATACCAAAACGTACCGAGAACAACAGCCCTGCGTGTGGCAGCTCGGCTAGAGGCACTTCCCCTGCCCCACTCTCTCCTCTCTCCTTCCCATCAGCCCAGCTCAGAAATGCAGGATACTTGAAGAAACCTACCTCAGGCATCAACCACCTATGCCAGCAACCACCCCTATACCGAAACGTTGCACGGTGTTTTTGAGAACTCTCAAGAACACCCTACAACCACCCCTATACCGCCACGTACCGAGAACAGCAGTCCTGCGTGTGGCAGCTCGGCTAGAGACACTTCCCCCGCCCCACTCTCTCCCCCGTACCCTCCTCCTCTTGACATCACTGGAACCACAGGTGGCTGATGCCACTCCCCCCCATCCCTCCCATCCCTCCCCTCCCTACCCTCCCTGCCCTCCCTGCCCTCTCTCCCTGCTCTCCCTTCCCTCTCTTCTCCCGTCTCCCCTCCAAAAACTTCCCTCCCGCCGCTCCTCCTTCTGTCCAAACCAGCGCAGCCCCAGTCCCGAGCCTCAGCCACGGCTCCCCCGAGCCTGTCTCGCCGCCGCCGAGCCTGCAGCTGGCGCACCCGACGCAAAAGCACAGCATTGGAAACAGCAGGAGGGCAGCACTCCCTGCATATGGGAGCATCTAAAGGCCCGGGTCTCCCAGGCCCTTCCACTGCTCCTCCTCCTATCCCTTCTCCCCCCGCTCCTCCTCCTCCTCCTCCTCCTCCTCCTCCTCCTCCTCCTCCTCCTCCTCCTGCTCCTCCTCCTGCTCCTGCTGATGACGTAGATGATGAGCTTCCTGGAAGCTTCCAGCCTCCAGCTGAGGATAAACCAGAAAGGGACGAAGCGGAGCCACTTTTGATCACCTTACCCAAACCACCACCAATACCACCACTGCCGCTGCTACTGCTGCCACTGCTACCTCCCACGTTGATGATACTGTTGGTGCTAATGCTCCTAGTGCCATTCCCACCGGTGATGCTCCCACCGCTGCTAGCCCCGGCAAGAAACCCGCTTCCCGGACCTGCAAGGCAGGCTCGGCAGACCCGCCGGCGGCACCAGCTGCAGGCTGAGAGGCCCCGCCGAACCTCCATATCCACATCTTCCGAACCGCTTCCCGAGGACCGCCCACTGGTTCGTCCCATTCCACTGCTTCCCGAGCCTCCTGCGCCGAACCTAACATCACAATTTGGGCCGATACAGGCCAGACCAGGACTAACACACCCCCAGCCAGTGTACTGCCCTTGAGGGGCCCATACATGAGCACACAACCTCCCCTTGCCTGGATTACCCAAATCGCCCCCATCCCTGTTACCATCTCTCTCTCCCTCATACCCCTCCTCTCCCTCCCCTCCCTCACCCTCTCCTTCATCTCCTCCATATCTCTCATCTCCCAAACCAGCCAACAGCCCGTTTCCCCTCCACCAATCACACTCCTGCTCCACCTCCCCCTTGCCACCAGTACCGTTTCTTGCTCCTTTCTCTCCCGCTCTCTCACTGCCCCTCCCCCTCTCCCCCTCCCCTCCCTCCCCCCACTCGCCTCCATCCCCCTCTTCTCCCCTCGCCCTGAACCCCATAGACCCTATCTCAGCATCCTCTTGCGCAGTGAGACACGCGGATGCCAGGCTGGCAGCCAGCTGGCGGCACAGCAGCGCGTCGGGCACGCTGACGTGGCGGTTGGGGTTGGGGTCCAGGAGGGGCAGGAGGGAGGGGAAGAGTGCGGGAGGAGGAGGAGAGGCGGAGAGGAGGGCGGAAAAGATGGCGTCTCGTTGGGAGGCGGAGAGGGAGAGTCGCAGACGAGCTATTTCAAGCTCCATGGCTGTTGGGAAGTCTATGGACCAGGCCTGTCGGACCAAATGATTTAGGACGGTTTGGGTAGGAGGGGGGAAAGGGGGAAAGAGTGGACTCACTGAGAGGAAATGGAGGAGAGTAGGGTCTTCAACGAAAGGTTGATACATGTCAAGAAAAAGAACTGAAGAAAGAGAAGAGTGAGAGAAAATAGGGGTAACAATGGCTGGTCGAATTGTGAAAAGGGAAGCACGGTGCTTGAATGGGTTCCAATGCTCTCGGCTACGTACCTTCTTGGGCACCAAAACTTTTCGTAGTAGCTGCCCGAAAGCAACAGCACCCCACTGCTCACACACGTTCTCACTGACCCCGTGGGCTAATCTCACTATCCTCTCCACCTCCTCCCCCTCCCGCTCCTCCTCTCGCTCCTTCTCCCCCGCCCCTTCCCCTCCTCCCCTCCCTGCTTCCCTTTCCCTTTCTCCTATCCCCTCTGCTGCACCTGCTTCAGTCACACGCGAGCCCACACCTCCCCTTCCCTCGAAACCACCACTTTCCCCTTGAAGCAAATCGAATACCCCACTCTTTTGGGAATTCTCAACGGTGACTCCTGAATAGCTCCCCTGCTGCCTTGGTGCCTGCTGGGAAGAAGATATTCCGCTCTCCTGCTGCTCCCTTTGATCGAGATCTTCTGGACTGTGGGGGGGAGATGATTGCGGGTCAGGTTCTGGTTCCATGAGAGGGTGCCACGTGGCAGCTGCTGGTTGGGTGATTGCAGGGGGGTTGAAAGAGGCCCATTCAAGATCACCAGCAACAGAAGAAGCAGCAACTGCTGCTGGTGCTGCTGCCGCCGCCGCCGCTGCTGCTGCTGCTGCCGCTGCTGCAGTTGTTTCAGCTGAATTTGTGGTTGGAGCATCAAACGACATCCACCCACCAGGCTGACTGCTGCTGCTGCTGCTTGCTGCTGTGCCGCCAGCAGTTGTGCCACTAAAGGCTGTGCTTGTATCGAAGGACTCCCACCCACCCGGCTGCTGGCTGCTGCCTGCACCACTGGCCGCACCAAAGGGATTATTGGAAGCAGCATTGACAGCACCGCTGCTGGTGCTGCTAGTGGTTTGGAATCCCCCATCATCAAACGCCCCAAACGACTCCCACCCTCCTGGTTGACTCCCACCCATTGCTCCTCCAGCTGCTGCTGCTGTTGCTGCTCGTCCTCCTGTTGCTGTGTTTACAGCTGCCACTCCGTTTGCTCCCATGCTCAGCCCTCCCACCAAGCCTACTAGATCAGCCACGGGAGCAGGTCCCAGGGCTGCCGAACCAGGTCCAGGCGCAGGTTCGGCAAAAGGGTTGGTGGACGAAGCAAAAGGGTCGGCAAACCCAGAACCAAACGGATCAACCTGTGCAGTTGTACCTGCACCAGAAGCAGACAAAGCCGCCGGCCCAAAAGGGTCAAAACCTGCAGCAGTCCCAGCAGCAGAAGTGGCAGCAGCTGTAGCAGCTGTAGCAGCGGGGGAGATTGAGATCCAGCCACTAGAGGTCAAATCTGCTGTCGTTTCTGCTGCAGCAGTGGCAGCGGTGCTGCTTGTGCCTGTATTGAATGTGCTTGTAACGGGTACAGAGAAGAAATCATCCATGAGGTTCGTTGCGCCCGAACCTGTGGCCTCCATAGCCTGCATCATGCGGTTCGGGGAGCTCATCAGGTCCGGGACCAGGCTCGGCGCTGCCGGACCTGGTGCGGCCGAACCTGAAGCATTAAGTGACTGAAAGTCGAGAAAATCCCGAGGTTCGGGAGGAGGAGGAGGGTGTGTGGTGGGGTGTGAGGAGGCGAGAGGGGAAGTGCGAGGGGGTGGCATGGGAATGGCATCGTCCATGAGATTGGCCAATGGCGAGCCGCCACCTGGCATCCATGTCGCTGTTGGTGCAGCAGCATCAAGTGTAGCAGTATTTGCCGCTGTTGTTGCAGTAATTATCGCTGTGGCACTATGTGAGGCAGCCACAGAGGGTTCAGTGGTAGGAGCAGGCGGAGCAGGAGGGGGCGAGGGGAGGAGGGAGAGGATGGATGGACAAGAATGGTGAGCAGCAGAAGAGGAGGAGGAGGAGAGAGAGGGAAGGAGTTGAAAGTCATGGTGTGTGGGTGTTATGCCTAGTACCTCGATCTGTTGTGGCGGGAGGGGAGGGGAATAACATGCAAGAAGGAGGCGTGTGGGTTTGCTGAGCGTGGGATAATACACACACACCTATGTTGAGGGGAGGAGGAAGTGGAGGAGGGTAGAGAGGGAAGGTGCTGAAATTCTTGCCGCTTGGGTGCTATGCCTAGAACCACAACCTGATGTGGTAGAATGCATTAGCAGAGGTACAAAGGGGTGGGCAACAGCTGAACAGCTACTGGAAAGCAGGAACATCTAAACAGCATACCTGTCCAAGGGTCGTGGGGGAACCGGAACTGTTGCCACCACCACCGCCACCTGTATAAAGATTATTTCTGAGACGCCTCAAAAATAAGAACAGCGTACCTGTCCAAGAGTCATGGGGGAACCGGTACTGTTGGCACCGCCACCGCCACCGCCAAATGCAGCAGACGCAGCAGCAGGCGGGTAGAAGGTGATCGAGACAAAGCGGGTCAAGAAGTCGATTCTCCCATCGCCCTCCTCTGTGTAATCGTAGAGCAGCGACGACGACACCGCCCCTCCCCTCTCATACACGCCCTGCTGCTGTTGATGCAGATAACCAGTTCCTTGCTGCTGTTGCTGCTGCTGCTGCTGCTGCTGCTGGTACGCACTGCCCTGCTGCCCTATATATCCCTCCATGAACACAGGGCCAGGGGCAGATCGCGTCCCTGCATAGCCCAGCGCCCCCCCACTGGGCGCCCCTGATTCACTGAACTTGCGAGCAGCAACGGCATCGGAAGCAGCAGGAGCGGGAGCAGCAGGAGCAGAGGGACGGGTGGGCTTGGGCGCAGGAAGGGGGTATTGCAGGACTGTGCCGCTGGCGCAGCGGGGGATGGTGAGACCCTGCAAGGGGTGTGAGCAGAAATACGGATGGGAAGAAAGTAAAATACATGAAGCAAGCGTGAGAGTGATTAAGAATAATGGCAGGGCTGGGAGCAGGGAGCGGGTATTGCAGGACTGTGCCGCTGGCAGTGGGGGATGGTGAGACCCTGCAAGGGGTGTGAGCGAGGAGTGAGAATGAGAGTGGGAGAGAGAAAGAAAACACGTGAATGAGATGGGGATAGTGAGAGAGAAGGGAGGACGTATTGCAGAACTGTGACACTGGCACAGCCGAGTGTTGGGAGGGCCTGCAAGGGGCGTGAGTGGGGATTGGGAAGGGGGGGCGGTGGAGGGCAGAGGGTAGAGGGCGGAGGGCGGAGGGCGGAGGGCGGAGGGCGGAGGGCAGGGGGCAGGGGGCAGAGGGCGGAGGGCAGGGGGCAAAAGGGAACGCTCACCTCAGCAGCGAGATGCAGGGAGTCGATGGTCCTTCCCACGCGCACATCGAAGCGCGGAGGAGCGAGGGAGTCATCTGCCCCATGGGCGACAGTGAGCAGCACGTGGGTCACATGGCAGGGCACCGCCACACTCACATGCATACAGAGGGCAAGCAGAGGGCGGAGACAGGAGAGCTTACCTCAGCAACTAGATGCAGGGAGTCGATAGTCCTTCCCACGCGCACATCGAAGCGAGGCGGAGCGAGGGAGTCGTCCGCTCCATGGGCAGGGAGCAGCACGTGGGTCACATGGCAGGGCAGTGCAGGGCAGGGGGCAGCGCCACACACACATGCAGGCAGAGGGCACGCAGAGGGTGGAGGGCGGAGGGAGAGCTTACCTCAGCAACGAGACGGAGAGAGTCGATAGTCCGTCCCACGCGCACGTCGAAGCGAGGCGGAGCAAGAGAGTCATCAGCTCCATGGGCGACAATGAGCAGCACGTGGGTGGCATGGCAGGGCAGCGCAGGGCAGGGGGCAGCGCCACACACACAAATGTACCTCCATTAGCGGCCAACCACTCACCTCAGCAACTAGATGCAGTGAGTCGATAGTCCTTCCCACGCGCACATCGAAGCGGGGCGGAGAGAGAGAGTCGTCCGCTCCATGAGCGACAGTGAGCAGCACGTGGGTCACATGGCAGGGGACCGCCACGCACAGATGTACCTCCACCAGTGGCACCCACCCCGGTACCACCCACACCATCCCCTTGCTTGTAGCACCGGCACCATAAGAACTGATCAGCGAGTCGGTCCGGTACAGGCTTGGAAACAGGCTCGGGACCGGCCGGAGGACATGTGCGTGCCCCGAGCCTCCTCCGGCGGAGGAGGGCAGGGAGACGGTCAGGAGCGGGCGGTCGGGCAGCGAAAAGGAGAAATACTTGTGCCGGCGCAGCCCGAGAAAAACCTCGAGCTGCCGTTGCCTGGTAGCATCCCAAACGAGATTCAAAAACCTCCTCTGCAGGGAAATCCCGATGTTTGTCGCGCTGGCAGCAGCACCTTTCTTGGCCTTGCTAGGATCGCTGCTGAAAATATGGATGATGTGGGAGTGCATGGCCCGAGAGCCGGTGTAGAGAGTTGCATGCACGTCACCGGCTATTGAAAAGAGGTCTGCAACGGCTGTGACGGCGGATGGGAGAACCGTGGCTTGGAATTCCCTCACACTCATGTCTAGAGAGGCCCAGGCGTGGGAGAGAGTCGAGGGGAGCGGCGGGTGCTGAATCTGATGCTGCTGCTGTGAGGCGGGAAAGGAGGAGGAGGAGGAGGAGGAGGAGGAGGAAGCGGGGAAGGCAGTGGGGCGAGGAGGCGGAGGGCAGGGGTGGGTCCAGGTGGTTTTGCGGGTGTTATGATCGATGTAGAACACCTTGCTGCGAGATGGGTCTCGCCGCATCTCCCACCCGGGAGGCAGTGCTGCTGCTAACGCCTCCTCCTCCTCCTCCTGTGTAGGCGCCCTGGTAGCACCTCCTGTCCACCCTCCTGCACCTCCTCCTCCTGCTCCTCCTACTCCCGTTCCCAATCCCCCGTCCCCTCCCCCAAACGCTGCACTGTAATACTGGGAGAACTCGCTCCCAAATCCTCCGGCTGCTGCTGCTGCTCCTGTGTTTCTGCCTGGCATGCTACCTCCTCCTCCTGCTGCTCCGCCGCCTCTGGCCCATGCGGCGTCCAGGGATATTCCCAGGTGCTGGCACTGTTGCACAAACACCTGATGGGACGATACGTGAAGGGGAGACACAGAGCAGCAGGGTTCCTCTGAGTTGGCTCAAAACGTGGTGTCTTGTGAGTCGAAGGGCACGTGAGTTGACTCAAAAGACACTGTGTTTCTACCACACACGTGTGTGTGCGCCCATCTGCCTCACCTGCAGGGCGCTGAAGAAAACTGGCAGCGTTGGTGTGATAAAAAAAGTCACCACGGTTGAACCATACCACGCCATGCTGAGAGACTATCTCCCATGACCGTTAACCGGTACCACACACACACATGCCTCGTGCTACCCACTCTAACTCACCTGCAGCGCGCCAAAGAAGCTGGCAGCGTTGGTGCGATACAGAGAGTCAGCACAGTTGAAACGCACCATGCAATGCTGCCGCCTCATCTCACAACCTCAAACGTTCCCCCCAACCACATGCTCTACACTGCCTGTCCCACTTGCACGGCCCCACAATCTTTCCAAGCTAACTCACCTGCAGCGCGCCAAAGAAGCTGGCAGCGTTGGTGCGATCCAGAGAGTCAGCACAGTTGAAACGCACCATGCAATGATGCCGCCTCATCTCACAACCTCAAACGTTCCCCCCAACCACATGCTCTACTCTGCCTGTCCCACTTGCACGGCCCCACAATCTTTCCAAGCTAACTCACCTGCAGCGCACCAAAGAAGCTGGCAGCGTTGGTGCGATCCAGAGAGTCAGCACAGTTGAAACGCACCATGCAATGCTGCCGCCTCATCTCACAACCTCAAACATTCCCCCCCAACCACATGCTCTACACTGCCTGTCCCACTTGCACGGCCCCACAATCTTTCCAAGCTAACTCACCTGCAGCGCGCCAAAGAAGCTGGCAGCGTTGGTGCGGTCGAGGGAATCAGCACAGTTGAATCGCACCATGCCGTGCTGCTGCCTCACCTCACAACCTCAAACATTCACCCCCAACCACATGCTCTACACTGCCTGGCCTACCTGCCTGCACGGCCCTAAAACCTTCTCAAGCTGCCTCACCTGCAAGGCACCGAAGAAACTAGCAGCGTTGGTGCGATCCAAAGAGTCGGCGCAGTTGAATCGCACCATGCCATGCTGCCGCCTCACCACCTCAAACACCCCTCCTTGCAACCCCACGTTCTGAATCACCGCTTTCTCACCCACTCCCCCCTCCTCCCCCCCTCCTCTCGCATTCCCAGCTGCCATCCCTCCTCCACCTGCCACTCCTCCAGATCCAGTTGCTACCTCCCCCGGGTGCCACCTCCCCAGGGTAAACCCGATCCCCTGCAGAGGCACCTTGAGCCGCTGCCACAGCCCCTCCACAGTTGCAGCCTCCCCCACCGCGCGGGTCATCGCATGCCAGTCGTACGTGAATAAGTCGAGCGACGCCGCCCGCAGCTCCGGGCGGCAGCGCGCGGAGCGGACGGCCTGCTGGAAGTGGTCGGAGAGAATAAGTTCGGGCTTGCCGACCCCAATGCGAAGCAGGTTCACGCAGACTATGGGGAACTTCCGGGGCGGCGGGAGGGCGGCGGGAGAAGAGGAGGGATGAGAGGAGTGAGATAAGGAGTGAGAGGAGGAGAGAGAGGAGGGGGAGTAGCGCCGAAGAAGCCGGGCGAAGTACGGAGCAATCCCTTCCGCCTGAGTCTCTGCTACAAATATCTCAGCATCCTGGATAGACGACTTGATCTCCGCTCCCCACCATATCGGCACCGTCCCCCTCCGCCATATAAACGTTGAATATTCCACAGGAGGTGCTGAGTTTCCTGGTGCTGGTGCTGGTGCTGGGGATGGGGATGGGGATGCTGATGGGGATTGGTAGGAGGAGGGGTAGGAGGAGAGGGAGGAGAGCGAGGAGAGCGAGGAGGAGGGGGAGACCGAGGGAGAGGAGCTAGAGGGGAAGCCTGGGGTTGAAGAGGAGAGGTTTCCAGGAGGGGGGGGGACCCAGACGATCTGCTCGCATTCCACCTCGTTGCCTGTGCCAGCAGCGGAGTTTATTCCGCGCGCCAGGTACCGCGTTCCCGGGTGCAGCCTGCTCCGCCGCGCCAGGGACACCACGTGCGCCATGCGCGCGTTCGCGTCGGAGAACGCGCGCAGCTCCGCCAGACCCTGGAGAAGCACCGCGCAGTGCGCGCGCAAGCCCAGCGCGCGGAACGGCGCGGAGAGGAACTCGTTCCAGGCGAATTCCCAGTCCGGGTCCCATGGCGGGTGGGTGCTGGGGAATGGGCGAGTAATGTCTCTAGTCTCGCAGAAATAGTGCAAATCGGCGATTGACACGTCAGCTAGGTCTTGCACGGCTTTAGATTCGGATTTGGTTAGGGACGCGGCTCCGGAGGGGGATTTTAGAGGAATTTTGACCCATTGGGATTCGGTAACGGTGTAGATTGTATCGGGGCCGGACGGGAGGGATCGGACGGTGGCGCGTACGCGCGTCGCGACGAGGAGCAATCCGACGGTGTTGAAGGCCGCGTAGCCGATGAGCGCGCGGCCGTGCACGGCAGATCGGACGGCCACGGTGTTGCCACGTGTCGCGGCGAAAAGCGCGTCGGATTCGGTGCGGAAAACGTCGAGGCCGGGACGGTTGGCGAAGCGGAGAGCGCCGGTGACGGGATCGATGGAGATTAATTGCGTGTAGGGGAGCGTGGAGAGGGAGAGGAGGAGCACGAACTCGCCGGACTCGAGCTCGATCACATTCGCTCGAGTTTCGCGAAACGGCACCGCTGCCGTGGGGAAAAGGGGGAGGAGAGCGGGTGGAGGGAATGGGGGAGGAAAAGGGGGGAGAGGATGCGGGAAGAAGGGGAGGGGGGAAGAGGGAAGGGGGAAGAAGGGAGGTGCTTGCTTTCGAGCTTGATATTTTCCTCTCGGGCCTCGCGAATCGATGCCGTTTCAGCTGATGTGGGGATTGTTAGGGATGCAGCGTGGGAAGGAGTAGAGGGTGCTGATGACTTAAAGGGATTTGCAGACTGGAAAATGGATAACAGGCGGTAACGGAAAGGAATTCTCGAGAGAAAAGAGAAGATGGCAGATGAAGAAGTGTGACATGGAACGTGAAAACAACAGTCCAACCAGGCCCGAAAAACGGTCATAAACGAAACTACGGAGAAAGGGAATTGCGATTCGAGCGATACTGCAACTACAGCTAATCAACTGGTCTTACAAGTCCGCGTCGTCATATCGTAGATGATTTCTTGGTAGTTGTAGAGGCTTCTTGTAAGACAGTGACGGTGTCGCAACCGCGAAGATAGTGCCGGCAAGTCCTGGCTTCGAATCTATGAATCTCTTAAGAACGCCATTACGCCTCTCTCCTCCCTCGTTTAACAGTTGCTTTTGGAACTTGCGAGTACCAGAATGAACGCTAGACCTTCATGCCTCACCTCTACACCTATTGAATTCCAATCTAGAGCTCCTCACACATCACCTCGCTTCGCAGCGAAGCAACTTGCAGCTGAGAAAGTCGTCGTGAGGAGCGCGTCCTAACTCGGCGTTCTCTAGGTATGGATAGAGCCAGAACCCCGAAACGGAGCCATGGATTGGACACCATTCCTTCTAAAACGAGCCATTGAATTGACATGAAAATTCTAGGCTGAGCCCAGTGACCGTTGAATCGAGCTTTTGAATCCCGTGAGTCTTCAATATACTCGACATTGCACCTCACCCGGTTGCGATCTGGTTAAGGCACAAGCGTCACCTTTATCCAGTACAGTGAATTCTCCAAAGACAACTCCACGCTGCTGCTTACAATCTGGAAAAACAAACCCAGTTGTCGTCATTAGAAAAATCTGTAAAAACGAGGACAAAGGGAAACTCCATTTAGTGCCACACCCAATCCCAGTGGCTGAATTAGGTTACGACTCGGGAGAGGAAGCCTACTAATTAGCTAGTGAACCTCTGAACCACTTCAGAGCTGGTTATCGTGGCTCGAGTCGTGCTGCTGGAATTTTGTATGTCAGTGATCGGTTCTTAAAGTCGCGATTGGTCAGTTACACAGATATCACAATTCGCCAGCAGCGGCCAGTTCCCTGCGCTGTGGTCTTACATCCACATTTCCATCCTTCCTTGCTTTCTTCTTCGTGTTCGCGTTTCCGGCTCGTTTTCCCTGTTATCCCACGCGGGCTCCCGACGCGTAACAAAAAAAAGGCAAATAAAAACCACGAAGTTGCTGCATTTTTCATCGCCTGACTGCCTCCACATCCTCGACTATCACTTCCGTTTCAGTCCCCCATGGCACCAGTGGCGCCGCGACCGGCGGCGCATAACCCGTCGCAATCGGCGCCGCAGCGCGCGCTGCAGCTGGACCAGCAGTCGACGATGGATCTAACCCTAACGGTCCTGCAGCGCATGGATCCCGCCGTCGCGGAGATCCTGCTGACGGTCGGCCACGTCACTGTATACGAGTTTGACGTGGCAGCATCCTCTTGGGTCCGTACGTGGCACAGGCCGTGCGTGTTTCACTGTTGCTAGTGCCGTCGTAACCGCTAAGCCAGAGTCCGTTTTAAGGAGGACTTTCAGAAGCAAGTTCTTTTGCAAGCACCATAGGAAGAGGCTTTGCAAGCACCGTTGCAAGCACTGCTGTGTGCTCGTATCCAATCCTTCCTGCTGTCTTTTGCTGCTTGCTTTTCTCCTGATGCCGTGAATGATGCCACTGTGCGTTCAGTTACCAATTCCCATCCCTTGCCACCCCTTCTCAACCCATAACACCCCGTCCCATCCCATTCCACCGCTTCGTATTGTGTAACAAATGTTGCAGACACGAAAGGACGTGGAAGGGTCGCTGTTTGTCGTCAAACGGTGAGAAACCCGAACAGCTCTTCGTCCCATTTTCCGTCATAACTTCACATGTGGCCTCATCTTCACTACGCTGTGTATCTCATGCATGCATCGTGTCACAAATCCGCCATTCTCTCTTCAGTACTTCCTCTCTTCATACTTACCTGTGTGCTTGATTGTGTGCTTTCATTTGTGGGTCTGGTTGCAACGGTGTGGGCGTGTGTATTCATATGGGGGTGTTTGCACATGCTCTCACCCTTTGCATGTTGAACCATGCTTCTTTGAACGTACGCATGGTTGCCTGCATGGGTGTGTGCCTGCATGTGTGTGTGCCTGCATTTTTGCACATTGCAGCAAGGAGCAGCCTCGATTTCAGTTCATAGTCATGAATCGCAGATCCCCAGGTATAGAAATGTAAACAACATACATGTATTATGTATACATGTACATTGCATGTGCGCACATGCATGTATGTATTGCTACTGCATGTATGTGTGTGTATGCGTGCAGCAAGTAGCGGCTTCATGTTCGGTTCATAGTGATGTATGTTTGAACATGTTTGTTGTGAGCATACATGCATGTATATGTATGTCTATATCCAGTGCCTTATTACCCGTTCTCTCGTCTCCCCGTCCCCCAGACAACCTGATAGAGGACCTTCTAGGGGACCAAGAGTATGAAGTGCAGCCGCCCTACATTCTGTACCGCAACAGAGGCCAGGAGGTGAACGGCATCTGGTTCTATTCGTTAAAGGAGTGCCACGACGCTGCCAACCTGTTCTCCAGGTTTGGAAAGCATATACTTCAACCCTCTTTGGAGTGACTCACCGGACTTCAGTTGACCTGACTTGACTTGACTTGACTTGTCATTCCGGTTTAAATTCGTTTTGAACATATACCTCTCCTGTGGCTGACTCACCCAACCAACCCAATACCCTTCGTACTGAATAATTAGCCTAGACAGAGTTGAGTTCAGTTGTCTTGTGTTTCTTCTTTCCCCTTTTCCTCGCCTTTCTCTCCCCTGTGCAGGATTCTCAACACCTTTTCTCGCCACTCACATCCATCCAAGCCCCTCGTACCCTCTAATAGGTATGCCTATTTCCTTTTCCTTTTCTCTATTCCCGTCAGTTGGTGAGCTTCTCTTGTTACACTCACACCCCTATCCTTTTGCCTGTCTCGTTTTCTCCTCCTCTCTCTTTCTCTCAATTCATATTTTCCAGTTTATTCCCCTCTTTCCTACGACCCCCATTGCCCTTGCATCCCTTATTCCTGGTAGTCTCCATCTCCTTCCCTCCTTTCCTCTTTCGCTTTTCTCGTCTCCCTTCCTTTTCCCACCCCTCTCAGCCCCGGGTATTCAGAGCTGGGGGCCGGGCCCTCAGCAGCCATGGTGGACGGCCATCTCGAGCCCACAACATCACAAGACCAACAGCACAACAGCCACATTCCTCAACTTTCCGCCACATTTCCCTCCCGCGTTACCCTTTCCTCTTCCCCTCCCTCGCCCCTCTCAGCCCCGAGTATTCAGAGCTGGAAGCTGTGCCCTCAGCAGCAATGGTAGACGGCCCTCTCGAGCCCACCACACCACAAGGCGACGATCATCAACCCAGCAGCCATGTTTCGCAACACTCCACCACGGACCCGCTTGTTAACGCCTTGCTTGCTGACACTGGCACGCCTTTGGAAAACCTTCCTTCCTCTGCCTCACTCCCTCCCTCGCTCCCTCCCTTCGCCTCGCTCCCTCCCGCTGCCTCTCTTCCTCTCCCTCCTCCCTCCTCACACCCTCCCTCTTTTCAAGACGCTCGCTCCTCCTCTGCCCCTGTGCCCTCCTCTCTCCTCTCCACGCTCCTCCCCTCGCTTTCTGCGGCGCCACACGAACCGCACCCAACCGCTTTGCCTACTGCTTCCGCTCCACACGAACCGCAGCCAACACCTCTCCCGCTGCTGCAGGGCCAGCCGCAGGAGAATGGGTTGCAGGTGAAGGAGGGGCAAAGGGTGGGAGAAGCACAAGCACAGGGGCAAGGGCAGGGGCAGGGGCAAGCGAATGGGCAAGGGCAGGGGCAAGGGCAAGATGTGGTGAGAGAGCAGATTCAAGCTCTAATGGACCTCCAGGCAATGCTGCAGATTAAACCGACAGGAGCAACACCGGCAGCACCACCAGCAGCATCAGCTGAACCGACAGCAGTAGTAGAAGCAGGAGCAGGAGGAACAACACACGCTCTTCTCAAGCCCTCTTTCTTCTCCACTGCCCCTCCATCCGCCCCATCCGCCTCCTCAGCCGCAGCAGGACCACCAGCACTGCTAACACCACCACTTGCAGCATTACCACCATCTCAGCCAGCCTTACCAGCTGCAAGCACTGGTGGTAGTGCAGCGTTGCCAGCTGCACAGCAGACAGCTTTACCTCTCCCAACCGCATCACCTGCTTCGGTGGTGTCTGCTCCTTCTTTCCGCCCCCCTACCGTTCCCCTCATCTCCCCTGCCGCCCTCTCTTCTTCCTCTGTCCCCATCTTCCCTTCAGTTGCCTCCCCTCGCTCTGCCTTCTCCCCTCCTGCTCCCTCTTCTGCGCCCTTCCCTCCCCTCTCCGCCTCTCTTCTCTTCCCTCCTCACCCCAATTCCGCTCCCATGCCTCCTCTCCCCTCCTCTGCTACTCCATGTCACTTACTCGAGAAGGAGAACGCAGAGTGCAAGGGCTTAATGGAAATAAAGGGAGAGGGAAGACCAGCAGGAGCAAGGGATGAGGCAGGCAATGGGGTATCCGCACCTGCTGCATCGGCCGGGAGGGAAAGTGGGAGGGAGAGAGAAGGGGAAGGAGAGGGGGAGAGTGAACGTGGCAGTGATACAGAAAGGATGTCAGGGAGTGAGAGTGAGCGCATGTCACGCGCACTAGCAGCCCTCCTCCAACCCTCCCATGGAGCCCCCATGCTGCAACCGTTCCCCCCACCCGCCCCTCCCCCTTCCCTCGCCTCCCCCGCCCCCCTCCTGCTCCTTCCCCCTCCATTCCCGGTCCTCCTGGATCCTTTCCTGCCCCATCCCATTCCGTTCCTGCCGCATCTCTCCCCATTCCTGCTCATGGTGTTACTCTAGCCGTTGGAGGGTCTGGGTTGCAAGGGGGGAGAGGAGGGGAGGGGGTGGCGGTGGTGGTGACAAGAGAAGGGCTGAAGGCTGCTCTGCTGCGATTGGTGCAGGTGGGAACTGGTGCAGGTGAAGACTGGTGCACATGTCACATCACTTACGATCAATCCCTTTCTCTTGCAACATCATCTACTCTTGTTTTCCGCTCTTTCAAGAGCTAGTTCACTCACACACACCCAACCCTATTTGTTTGTTTGTTTTTAGGGGTTCAGGCATAATTTCTTCTACCCCTCCCTCCCCCCTCCCTCCTCCATCCTTCCCCACACCTCTACGCCACTCCCGCATCTTTCCAGAACGACAGTTTCATCGACATGCTCTTTCAAGAGTTGGCTCACTCGCACCCAACCTCACAATGACGCTGTGCTGGTATGGTATCACTTCCATACGGTATGCCGAGTTGCAAGCTTTTGTCTAGGTGTACCGTGTAGTGTAGTAAGCAAAGCACTTCTACTCATGCATTCTCATACAACCTTGGTAAAAGCAATTTCACCATTTGTGTTGATTGTCGCTCTGCTCTCGCAGAGGATATGGCGGAATGGTCGCAGCTGGCAAGCATGTGAGGAGATAAAAGCATACTTAAAACTTGACTATGTAATCTTGTAATGAACCTATGTATTAGGTAGAGCATTTTTGCTTGTAGTGCACATCTGGTGCCGCACTTGATATTCTAAGCATATTAGTAGAAACGTATGCTGGTATTCTGGCACGTTGGTGGTCGAAATTCATTACACCAAAAACTGTTACCGAGGTTGAAATATACCGAGTATATTGAACTTCCACTTCTCCTGTTTCCCTCCCCCTGCCACCCCTATCTCCTTGTCCCGTCCCGTCACACCTCCTTCCGCTTTATCCGCCGCTTTCAGCGGAGCACCGCGCGGACCCGAAATGCCTCGCGGCGATAATTTGCGCCGCCTGGCAACTGCGGCCTTGCGCCATGGGCTTCCGCGCGCAGGCTTCACCGCGCATAGCGCGCAAAACGTGCAAAGCTCGCTCCGCCTTCCCCGACACGGGCTTCCACCGCCTGGCCTCTGCTCCGCGCCGATTTCCCCCTCTCTAGCCGAACCGCCCGTAACCTCCGCCCGAATTCCCGCACAGGCGCAATCGCCGTCGCTTATGTTTCCTGCCGCGTCGCGTTTCCTTCCATGCCGATACGCATCCACCTCCGTCCATTCGACCTTCTCCTCTTCCCCCGCCGCCTCTCCCGCCGCATTAGCCGCCGGATCTGCCGCCGCGACGAAACCCGTCGAAGTTTCCGGCGCCGATTCGCTGTTGCTTAGCTTGGGACTGAAACCGCTTCCGCTTTTTCCGGGCAGCCCTTCGTTACAAAATCAGAATGAAATCGCTGCCGAGGGCTCTCAGGGAACCGACGCGAAGGTTCTGAAGGAAGTGCAAGTCAAGAGGCGGCGCAAGCAGAATCTGGCGGATATTCTATGGCGGCGCCCCGCGTGGGGGCAAGGGGCTAGAGTGGCGAAGCGGCACTGGCAGGAAGGCACCTTTTACGAAGTTTCACGAGTTCAAATAGCCAAGGTTAGTTCCGGATTCTCCTTGTGTTTTTTTTTTTCTCCTATTTTTTGGGAAAACCTGAGAAACCTTGTAGGTTGCAGAGATTTTGTAGTGTATTGTCACTCATCCCCCTTTCCCCTCCTCCCTCTCCCCTCCCCCGGTCCGCCTGTTGTAATCACGCCTTTCTGGTGTGACTTTGCAGACAGGGCGAACAGCAACAGTGTGGGGGATATTTCACCAGGAGGGTAAGTGAGTGTAATGAAAGGGAGAGTGCTGAGGATGGGTGGTGGAGGGAGGGAGGAAGGGATTTTTCCATGCTTGAAACACACAGAGGCCATGTGGCACAAACGCACAGAGGCCATGTGTCACAAACACACATCATGAATCAAAACGGAGGCCTTGTTTCCAATAAGACCTGTTCTGGCATTTTCACTCTTCTGCTGCAAGAGAGTGTGTGTTTCAAAACGGAGTGAGGGAGAGTGCGGAGGAGGAGCTTCAAGGTCAGAACAGAAACCGTGCTTCAAACTCACATTTCATTTATGCAGCCCTCTTTTTGTCACCTTCCATCCCTCTCTTTTAACATTTGTGCGGCCACAGAGTGGGTGTTTTCAGTCATCCCACGTGCCACTTTCCGTCCCTCTCCCGCTGCTCCCTTCCACTCCTCCCTTCCGCCGTCCTCCTGGAAGGTAGTGAGGGAGGGGAGAGTGTGGAGGAGGAGTTGAAAGGTCAAAAGGAGACCATATTCTCACAACTTTTGAGACATCTCAAAAGGAAACCATGTTCTCACAACTTTTGAGACGTCTCAAAGTGGTCAAAACGGAGACCTTATTTTCACATCTTTTGAGTCGTCTCAAGAGGAGAACATATTTTCACATCCCGTTTGTGCAGCCCTCTTTTATCACCTTCCTTCCCTCTCCCCGTCCCACGATTTCCTGTGCCAGCATAGGCACACGCTGGGAGGAAGGGGGGAGAGAGGGGGGGGGGGGGGGGGGGGGGGGGGGGGGCGTTGAGGAGCCTCAAAAGCAGAGGCGCCTCTAAGGAGGGCGAATAATCCGGGCTGGAAGGCAGTGGGAGCAGAGGCGGCGCTTAGAAGCCAGTCCATCTGGCACCTCAAAACAGGAGACAGCTTTTGAGGCGCCTCAAAAGCAGAGACGGCCATAGGGAGGGCAATCAACCTGTGCTGGAAGGCTGGAGGGCAGTGGGGGCAGAGGCTGGGCTTAGAGGCCTGTGCATTTGGCGCCTCAAAACAGGAGACAGCTTTTGAGTCAACTCAATAACCTAGTTTTGAGTCGAGTTTTGAGTCAACTCAAAAGTGGGAGCAGAGGCGGGGCTTGGAGGCCTGTGCATCTGGCGCCTCAAAACAGGAGACAGCTTTTGAGGCGCCTCAAAAGGGAGCAGAGGCGGGGCTAGGAGGCCAATCCGTGTGTCAAAGACATTCATATGCTGTTCTTGCTGCGCTCTCCCTCCTGTTCCTCTCTTCTTTTCCTTCTCTCCTTCTCCCTCTATCCTTCTCCTCACCGCTCTCTTTCAGGGGTTCCAGTGGCAGCAGAGGCGCGCATAGGAGGGGCGAATAAGCCGTGCTGGAAGGCAGTGGGAGAGAGTGAGGGGGAGGAGGGTGGTGGTGGAGAGGAGGAGGCGAAGAGAAGCCCTGCAAAAGACACGCCGATTGTTCACGCCTCTGTCTGATTTGATTCGAGTCAGACCAAGAGAGAGTGAGTGGGGAGGAGGGTGGTGAGGTGATGAAGAGGAGGCGAAGAGAAGCCCTGCTAGGGACGAACCTACTGTTCACGCTTCGGTCTGATCTGATTGGATGATTCAATGTTGCCTGCCTTTGAGACGCCTCAAAGGTCGTCCTTTGTTCTGGGTCGCATCAGAAGCCCTGTTAGGGATACACCAGTTCCCCAATTGGTCTGATCTGATCCTATCATTCATTTACTGTATACGTGCTTTGGTATCCAATGCCGGTACACCAAATATAATACCGTACTACCATCTGCCTATTTACCAGCAAGGCTGTTGGGAACAGTTGGATGGGAAGGGATGAGCAGGTGAGGATGTTGAATGGGAAGGGTAGCACATGATGCAGCAGGATTGCAAGTAGAAAATGCAGTGAGCAATTATATGCTTGCTTATTGTCCACAAAAACTAGTTATTACAAATGAAGTACTATCAGCAAGCCCCTTGCCTAAGCTACAACAGCAGCACCCTCCCTAGCAACTATTCTCTTCCTACCTGCCATACTAACAACTCCTCTTGCACTTCCAGGGCAGCTAGCTTGCCCCTCTAGCATTCCTCTCCTTGCTTCTCTCCTAGTAGCTAACGTTTTCAATCCTGGCCTATAAAGTCCTATCGCCCTTAGCAGCAGGACCCACCTGAAGCCATGCCGCTCCTACAAGAACCTTCATTACAGTCACGTGTCCTGATCCCAAGACTGACGCCCTCCTAGAGAATCCCGTCCGCTACAGTCACAAGTGGTAGGGAGCAGTATGGAGCGGTTTCATGAGAGCACGAGCCAGGAGTTGACTTCGGCAAAGGCGTTGGCGGTGTACGAAGCGCCATTCGAGATGATCCCACCCAGTCCCAAGCGGTACAGTGCAATATGGAGCGGTATAATTCGGTTTCAGGAGAGCAGGAGCCACGAGTTGACTTCAGCGAAGGCGTTGGCAGTGTAGGAGGCGCCATTCGAGATAATCCCAGGGTCCACCCAGTCACAAGCGGTAGTGAGCGGTACTGAGCGGTTCCATGCGGTTTTAGGAGAGAACAAGCCAGGAGTTGACTTCGGCGAAAGCAGCGGCGGTGTACGAGGCGCCATTGGAGATAATCCCAGGGTTCACCCAGTCCCAAGCGGTACAGTGCAATATGGAGCGGTATAATTCGGTTTCAGGAGAGCAGGAGCCACGAGTTGACTTCAGCGAAGGCGTTGGCAGTGTAGGAGGCGCCATTCGAGATGATCCCAGGGTCCACCCAGTCGGCGCGCGACGCCTTGGCGCCCGGGCCCTTGCTGCCGGCCTCCGCCAGGAACATGCAGCTGCCCTCGTTCCACGACAGCCAGCCGTCCGGCTGGATGACGGCCGGCAGCACGACGTTAACGAAGACGGTAAACGCGCACTTCTTCCACGGCCGGCCCAGATACGACTTCGCCGCGCCATTGTCCGCGCTCACCACCGAGTCGCGAATCACGATTCCCGTCGGCGTGTCTTTCGCGCGGCCCGACGCGGTGAGGGTAATAAACGACTTGCTGGGATGCAGCTGGATTTTCGCGTTCTGAATGACGGCGGCCGCGTCGCCAAAGATAAAATCCTGCGTGCCTCCGATGTAGCAGTTGAGGTAGAACTGCCGGCCCGAGTCCACGTACAGAGTATCTTGCGCGCCTTCGAACGCGCAGTCGATCGCCGCCGACTGGTCGCCTGTAGCGCGGAACGCTACAGCCTGGTGGTTCTCCGGGCCGGCCGTGTTCACGAATTTGATCCCGAATGCGACAAAACGGTCGCTGTTCACGCCGACAGTCGCCGAGTCGAACGTGCTGGACCCGCTGCCGTAGCTTTCGTCGTATGTGATCACTGTAGCGCCGGCGCCGGCCCCGATAAGGATTATATCGGGGGTGTCTATAACGACCTGCTCGCGGTACGTGCCGGCGGGGATGTAGATCACGTACTGGCTGCCGCTGGGAGCGGCGTCAATCGCGGACTGGATCTTCCCTTTCACGACAGCGTTGGCCTTCAGTCCCTTGCTCGCGCGAATGGGACCTGAAGCGGGTTTCGCGCTGCTGCCCTTGCTCTTGCCCTTGCTCTTGTTTTTGTTCTTGTTCTTGCTGCTGCTGCTGCCGCTGCTGCCGCTGCTGCCCTTGTTCTTCTTGCTCTTCTTATCCTTCTTGTCGTCGTCGTCATCATCGTCGTCGTCGTCGTCGTCATGGTGGCGGTGTCGCAGCTCTCGCCGTGCGACGTAGTCGTGAACGCCGTCGCCCATCGCGTTGAGCTCCGCCTGAAGCTGTCGCAGCTGTGCGACAAAGTCGTCGTCCAGCCACTTGGCGCCTCGTGCGACATCAGCGGGCTCGGACGACGCGAGCTTGCGACCGAACTCGGGTGGGCCGGCCGCAGCCTTCTTGGCGATGGCGACAACAGCTTCCAGCGTGTCGCTAGCCTTGTTGGCGACGGTCTGCGACGGGATGAGGGACAACGGATGATATGCCTCAGTCACAATCTAACCGTGTTCAAGCGAAGCTGCGTTCGTTCTTATTTGGTTAAAGAACAAGTATTGAGGAGTCTTGATATATCCAAGCTCTCGGACGGACGAGAGAAGGGAAGGGGAAATGACATATTTCAGGACGGGAAGTGGCGGGGTGGGGCTGGGGAAGGAGGAGGCAGCCAGGCGGAAAAGGGGGGAAGAAACGAACCTCGAGATGCACAAACGCGGGCTGGAACGTGGCAGAGGGCGCAAGCGTCTTGAACCCGTCGACGCAATTTCCGACTTGCGTGCTGGCGGCGGACAGCCAAAACGCGCGATCGTGCCGCGCGCTGTCCGTTTCGATCGCGTCGAGCGTGCGGCCCAGGTAGCGCAGCGCGATGCCGCCCTGCGTGCTGCAGTCGTCCGCCACCACGTTGATGAAGTGGTTTCCGCGGATATTGGCGCGCTTGATCTCCGCGGCGGCATTGATGATCGCGGAGACTTGCGCCGCCACGGCGGAGACCATGGCCGCCGTGACTTTGTCCGCGGCTTGCGGAAGGACGCTGAGTTGCCGGCGTGCGGCGCGGAATTCCTGGGAGCAGAGAGTCGCGTTGGACACGCCGGTGCAGAGGGTGGGATGGGAGATGACGAGATAATTATCGGCCATGTAGCAGCACGAGATAATGGCGAGAGCCACGCCCATGCCCGCAACGGCCAACGTAGCAGCGCTTCTAGCCCCCATGTTGACGTTGGAATGCCAAGCTAGCGATTTTGCAGACCAGGATAGCTGTCACTGGAAGGGCAGAAGGATACCAATTCGAATAGGAAGATTGCGTGGGACGAAATTTGTTGATGGAAAAATGAATGTCGAGGGCTAATTTTTATGCCTGGGCTGGGGCTGGATGGAGGGAGGTCGCATCGCATCGCGATTCGAATCGTCAAGAGGTGTGTATGGGCCAGGCATATCTGGGTAGGGGAGATCGCGATCGTGATTGGTCCATCTGGCTAAGAAAAGGGCTGGACCTGGGAAAATTGTGACTACAACAGAGGAGTACGAGTCGCAGATGGGCTTGGTGATGAATTCTGACT